GGATTCGAACCCGCCACCTTAGGTGTATGTGGCTGGCGCCTTAGCCGCTTGAGCCACAGGCGCCGAGCCAGCTTCTAGGCTTTCTGCTCATTCTCACCAAGTATACAGTAAGCAAGCAATAAATACGTGTTGAATGCATATATTTGAAAATTCCATAATAGATAAGTTCATTTAAAATTTAAAACAGCTTTACTGAAAGGTCATTAAGTTTTTAAAAGACAGGTAAAAATATGCCATAACTGAACACTAATTAGACAGTTTAAGGGAAAAGAAATCTTCATGTAAAAAAGACAGACACTTGATTTATTGCATTAAAAAACTTTATTTCTTTTAAAAGGTCTGATATAAGCCAAATGAACCCCCAAATTTACAGCCGTACTTAGAGATCTCCTGAACTAAATGGCACTGTTTGAGTTGAGTGTCTTGTTAAAGGAGGTCATTTGCTATTACCACCATTTTCCCCAAAGTAGTTCTAGAGCAAAAGCTGGTATTACTATAATACACTTCAGATTTTCAGATGTTACCTTTCATGCAGAAGTTAGAGAAAGCAAACAGGCTTATCTACTCTGTGTGAGGGTAAAAAAACACTACAGAACAGGGCCTGAATGCTTTTGACATACAAGGTGTAACTATAAAGGAACTTACTGTGGTGCATTCAAGTAGTCCATGTACTTACTCCAACAATAATAGTATTGTTCAAACACCATTTGGGATAGTACTTCAAGATTTCACCTCACTGGGTGCAGGAGTCAACAAAGCTAGGGGACAGACTGTCACAGATGTGATCATAAAGCAATCTGAGAGTTTTCCCAGAGGGCTGGCATTCCCAAAAACCACCTCACAAATGTTTTTTGGTAACAGCATCATTTACATATGACTGATGCAGGTTTAAAGTTCTGGAATATGTGAGGATAAATTAAAAACAGCTCATTACTTTATAGCTACACCTTGGATTTCATTAGCTGTGGTAACTCTAACAGCGTGCCAAATGAGTCCTTCTGGAAATCACTTCAGCAGAGGAGCCAAACAGCCTGTGAAAAGAGAAGACATGGCAGAGCGGGCGAGATTCATCCTTCCAACATTCTCAGGGTTCTCTCGGAGGACAGACCCAGGCCCAAGGACAGAAGTTACCCGGAGGGAGGCTTCAACTCCATCTAAGGAAGACCTTTCTAACAGTTAGAGCTGCTCAACTGAATGGACTGCTTGGTGAGGTAGAGTCACTGGAAGTGTTCAAGGTGGAAAGATCACCCTTGTAGAAGGAACTCCTGCATTTGTTAAGAGGTTAGAGAGTGGATGAACCTCAGGTCTCTTTCAATTCTGAGATTCTAGAAAATTCCCCCAGGGAATTCAGAAGAGAATTCCTAAAAGGAAAGAGAAAGCACACATATGTATACTTTTAGAATCCGCTTGAATTTTTTTTTTAAAGGTACAATAGAAAAGTAGTCCACTGTCTTTAAAATGCATATTCACCTTCCTACCACTAATAATTGGGAAGGGCTCTTTCTGACTTCTCTATATTACAAAGAAAAGATGGAAGATTACATTTATAATTTCTGTAAATATTTTAGAAAAAAATGCTTAAAATCTAGTAGTCAATGCCCTAGAAACTTTATAGATTTTGAGATAATATGCACAGATACAAATACTTGTTCATTAAATACAACTCACATCTGTGTTTTATTATACTCTAAAATATACAGGAATCTTGATGTACTGAAAGAGTGCAAGTAAATACAGTATTCAAGCAGTCACTATTTCTATGTACATGCTCATTAATTCTTCAAAAAACCCACAAAATTATCAAATAGATCAAAATACTGTTCTGTGTTTTCACACTTTATATTCAGAAAAACCAGCTGATAATTTACAATGTCATAAAGTTTCCAGTTTCACAATACAAAAAGGATAAAATGAAAATGGGTATCAATTTGCTGTAATTTATGGAACTTTTTTACCCAGACCTGTAAGAACCCTACATACGTGAAATCATTTTTACCTGGAACTGACAGTTACAGTAAAAGCAAAACCACATCGACTGTTATTTGAAAGCCTAAATTTCAGCTTTTCTCTCTCTTTTGTTGTTACTTGAAAGGTACTTTTCAATTTCGCAGGCAATTGCTTCTCTTTCCAAATAATAACAGGTTTCAAAAATACTACTTTAAATCTGAATAGGACCTAAAAAGCTTTAGTATTTTTAAATCTTGCCCAATACAGAAATACCTTTCAAAAGACTTAAAGTTGTTTAATCTATGAATGATAAGAGTTGTTTTTTCCCTTTGATTCATCATTTTTCAAAATCCAGGGGCCAAAATAAACAACAAAAATCTCCTAACTCATTATGGGGGCACAAAAATAACTTAAAGTGACTAAGGTGTGCCATCAAAAGTAGCAATTTTGAAAACTCCATTTCCTAGGACCACTTAGGTACAACAGGTGAAATAATGTACTTTCTGATTTCATTAATCTTTTTCCTAGGAAATTCTTTACATTTTTAAACAAAAATAGCTCAATTTTAAGCCCAAACCATTTGAAACCGGACAAAAACCTGAATCCAATCTGTCTCAGTGTCTGTGTCACCAGTGTTTTAACCCATAATGCACTCGTTCAGCTGGTTTTCAATTCTAATATAAAAATTTGAAAATTTTAATGTAAAAGAAAAAATGTAAAAATACATCTGCTTTTTTCATGGAATTGGAAGGCTTTCAGATGTTTTCTTTTTTAAAAAAATTAACATTTAAAACCAAATCTCAGCTTCATTTCCAGAAATACTAAAGTTTGGTTTAGGTAATGTTTCATTTCACCTACTTCAGTTTCCATAAAATGGCATTCTATTAAAAAACCCTTAAGTTATTTGGTCCTTTGGCAATTTGCTGTGCACATAATGACTATTGTACCAAACTTTTATTGCCTTTAAATTTAGTTGTAATTTTGTTGATAAGATTTAAATCTAATGTCCTCATGTCTTCTTTTACAATAGTGTTGCTTGTGTAAGCAGGTTAGGGTGCACAGTGTCCCAAATTATTCATGGCGCTGCAAAACCAAATTAAACAATTCCACAAAACAATTTGACATCAATGTGTTTTTCTCTGATCAAGTCTATTTCAAGATTCTAAAGGTTCCTTTTATAAAACTTGCCTTTAAAACTCTTCTTCCTAATGTCATCACATTTCTTATATCGGCTCACTGTGCGATCTTTCCTCTTAGGTTGAATTTGTACGAAAGTGCCTTTTTTCCTGAAAAAGCACAGTTTGCAGTTTTAGTGTCCGAACTCCCTCCTATGACCCTGGCTCAGCCTTTCAGTAGGTCTCGGAATCGGAGTCATTGAGCTCATCCACATCAGTGTATAAGTACTCCTGTTCCCCGCCAATGTTGTTGAAACTGCAGTAGGAGCTAGGTTCATTCCTCATGATGGGCAAGGCTTCAAAGCTGACTGTTTTTGAGGTGTTGGTATAACGGTTAATGGCATTGAATGTCAAGGATGATAAAGGGCTACTTGATGAGATAGGCATCATGGTGGCCAAAATGAGAGCCAGGCAATCAGCCACATCCTTATTGGGAGCACAGGCCAAAGCTGGGGTATATCCTAGAATTAAAGATAAAATTTTAAAATTAAACATCCTGAGACTTACTTCACCAAGCATAAAAAAAAGAACCTAGAGGAGTTCAACTTTAGACGTATTTTAAGTTATTTAAATTGTTTTAACCAGGATATTTCACAACTTCCCAATAAGTAGGAAAAGAAAATGAGCCATAGAAATATAGGGGTGGAAGGAGATCTTACAGACTAGATAACAGAGGAGGAAACTGAGGCCCAGAGAAGGATGATTTCCCTAAGATCTCAGAACTTATTCATATCCATCTGAATTTATAGAAGCTATTGGGCTCAAATAAGGAAAAAATACAGATGGATAAATCTTCTTTCAGAATGGTGAATAGAAATTTACTGCTAATTTGTAGTTATGTAAGTAAGCCCTTACATAATAAGAAATCTGTATGTGTACAGGTTCAAGAATGAGGCACTGAACACATGCTCAAAACATGTGCACTGAATAAATGACACTTTTCTCTTAGGGGCCACAGTCTATTGAAGAAAAGTAGTAGATAAACTGAACAGATGAACTCTAAAACTATTAAGTCAAGACAAATAGAAATTATGAATGTTCCCTTTAGTAGTAGAAGGCCTTAGACATAAGGCCCCACAAAGTATCAACACAGCAAACTGAGAAGGTAACATGTGATACCTCTGTTGGTACAAGACCCAGTCTTGAGGATGAGTAAGAAGTATGATGCCAAATTTCAATTATATCATATAAAATAGTTCATACTGATCGTTTTAAGCTATGTGAAGCCCACAGGTTTAGTGGTAAATGACTTAAATATTTTGGTCCATAGGTTCATTTGCTGTTGCACATCTAGACACTGTTTTCCCTATTACTGTATTTATCCATATTTTAGCATTTACACACATATATTTATTAAAAATATCACATTTGTTTTTTATAGTTGGGTGGCTCGTGCCTGTAATCTTAGCACTTTGGGAAGATGAGGCAGGAGGATCACTTGAGGCTCAGAATTTGAGACCAGTCTAAGCAACATAGCAAGACCCTGTCTCTACTAAAATCTTAAAAGAGAAATTAGCTGAGCATGGTAGTGCATGCCTGTAGTCCCAGTTACTCAGGAGTTCTAGAGGAAGAAGGATCACTTTAGCCCACTGAGCCCAACCTCAACCTTGAATTTGAGGTTGCACTGAGCTACGAGGACACCACTGCATTCTAGTTTGGACAGGGAAGGGAGACCCTGTCTCAAAAAAACAAAGCAGAACTGCGTGCGGCAGCTTGCACTTAAAATCCTAGTTAGCCTTCTGGGAGGCCAAGATGGGTGGATAGCCTGAGCTCAGGAGTTCAAGACCAACCTAAGCAAGAGCGAGACTCCACCTCTAATGAAAATAGAAAAACTAGCTGGACATTGTGGTGGTGCCTATAGTCCCAGGCTCAGGCAAGAGGATCGTCTGATTTTAGGAGTTTGAGGATGCTGTGAGTTATGATGACATTATGCACTCTAAGACAGAGTGAGACTCTGTCTCAAAAAAAGAAAAAAAAAAGCAAAGCAGAACAAAACTAAAGTAAACCCAAATCATATTTGTTTTGTTTGTTTTTGTTTTTGTTGTTATTGTTGTTTAGCAGGCCAATGCTGGGTTCAAACCCACCAGCCCAGGTGTTATGTGGCTGGGGTCCTAACCACTGAGCTACAGGTGCCGAGCTGGTATTGATATTCTTTTCTTTCTTTTTTTTTTTTTTTTGAGACAGAGACTCAAGCTGTAGCCCTGAGTAGAGTGCCATGGCATCATAGCTCACAGCAACCTCCAACTCCTGGGCTCAAGTGATTCTCCTGCCTTTGCCTCCCAAGTAATTGGGACTACAGGCACCCGCCACAACACCTGGCTATTTTTTGGTTGCGGCCATCATTGTTGTTTGGTGGGTCTGGGCTGGATTGGAACCCGCCAGCTCAGGTGTATGTGCCTTGCACCTTAGCCGCTTGAGCCATAGGCACGGAGCCCACAGTTGTTTTTAAATGGCAAAATGGTTTTTAACAAACATTCATATAATCACCACCCAAGACAAGAAAGAGAACATTACCAGCATACCAGAAACCCCACATATCTTCTACCCAATCACTAACATTTTCCTCTTCCAAAATGGTAATTGCATTCCTGACTTATGTGGTCATCATTTCCTTACTTTCCTTCCTACTTATAGTCATAAATACTACCATTTAGCTTTGATTTTTTTTTTTTTTTGTAGCTAATATAAATGGAATGATGTAGTATGATTTAACATCCGGGTTCTTTTGCATAATATTGTGTGAGATTGATCAGTATTGTACTTAACTATAGTTGGTTCATTTTGACTGTTTTCTGAGACAGAGTCTCACTATGTCACCCTTGGTAGAGTCCTGTGGTGTCACAGCTCATAGCAACCTCAAACTCTTGAGCTTCAGCGATTCTTTTGCCTCTCTTGCCGCCACAATGCCCAGATATATATATTTTTTGTTATAGTTGTCATTGTTGTTTTAGCAGGCCCAGGCCAGGTTTGAACCCACCAGCCTCAGTGTATGTGGCCAGAGCCCTAACCACTAGCTACAGGCGCCACCCCATTCTCATGTTATATAGTATTTCACTGTGTGATTGTACTGAGGTTTAGTTATACATTTTAACTAAATATGATTGTTTCCCACTCTCCTATATATCCTGTATATTTTCATCTATGATACAACAGCCTTGATAAAGAAAAAATTTTTTTTCCCTTCATAAGTTTTCATTTTGTCAAGGGTCAAAGGGAATAAATGATATTTGTGCAAGCTTGGCGTGAGCGGCTGAAGAATGTGCATATCTTTTTTTTGAGACAGAGTCTTAAGCTGCCCTGGGTAGAGTGCCATGGTATCATCATAGCTTACAGCAAACTTCAACTCTTGGGCTCAAGTGATCCTCTTGCCTCAGTTTTTCTTTTTTTTTCTTTGGCTGGGGCTGGGTTTGAACCTGCCACCTCTGGCATATGGGGCTACCTTTTTGAGCCACAGGTGCCGCCCTTGCCTCAGTTTTTCTATTTTTAGTAGAGACAGGGCCTTGCTCTTGCTTAGGATGGTTTCAAACTTGTGAGCTCAAGCAATCCACCTGCCTCGGCCTCCCAGAGTGCTAGGATGACAGTCATAAGAGATGTGCATATTTTTGATTAACTAACCCATCTATGCTCAAAGTAACCAGCAGAATGCGTCACTGTTCACACTTTTTTCAAGGGTTCCTTGACCTTTTGGAAGGTCTGAGGGTACCTGCTGCTGCTGGCAGTAAGAAGAACTCATCAGACAGAACATGATGCCTTAGATGAGAGTGGGGTTGGGAAAGAAGAATGTCTGAGGAGTGTTCTCTAGTCAGAATATGATTAAAACCAGGCTCCTGTCCCCTGCATAAGGTTTTTCCTTTAGAATGCCACTCTCTCTGCCTAGGAAGTTCCTTCCCCACTTCCTACTTATTCTATGGATTTGACTTAGAAGTCAGTCTGGGAATTCCTTCTCTGACCCTGCAAAAAAGTGTCTGAAGACCCTTTTATGTACTCTTATGGCATTCTAGGTTTACTCTAATTAAACTATTTCAAGTGCACTATTAACCTGCTCACATTCCTCCTAAGGGAGTAAACTTTGTGTTAGTCTACACTCCATACTCAGAACTTAGCACAGTGCTTGCTATAATCACTCAATGAACATTCACTGAGCCTACACTACGTCCAGACACTCTTCTAAGCACTCATAATACATTGGTGAATGCAATAAAGATTCACTGCTTTTGTGGAGCTTGTATTAGAGAGACAATCAACATAATAAAAAGTAAATTATATACAACAGGTTAGAAGCTCAATGAAAAAAATAAAGAGGAAAAAGTACAGCAGGTTAACAAAGACAGAATGTCATGGTAGGGGTATGTAGCAAGTTGTAATCCAAGTGGGGTAGGTCAGAATGGCCTTCATTCAGAAGACAAAATTCCAACTAAAATTTGAAACAGCTAAAGGTTTTAGTCAAAGCATGCTTGGAGTATTCCAGGCTGAGGAAACAGTTAGAACAAAGATCTATACAACTCTGGTATTAAGGGGCTAGCACGGCAGAATGAAGTAAGTGAAGGGAGATTAGAAAGATAATGCGGTAGAGGACAGATCCTGTAGGGGCTTGAATATCATTTTAAGAACTAGGAGCGTAGCTCGGCGCCTGTGGCTCAAGTGGCTAAATACACCTAAGATGGAGGGTTCGAATCCAGCCTGGGCCCTCCAAAAACAACAATGACAGCTGCAACCAAAAAATTGCCGGGCTTTGTGGTGGGTGCCTGTGGTCCCAGCTACTTGGGACACTGAGGCAGAAGACTTGCTTGAGCGCAGGAGTTGGAGGTTGCTGTGAGCTGTGATGCCACAGCACTTTAACCAGGGGGATAGCTTGAGGCTCGGTCTCCAAACAAACAAACAAACAAATAAATAAAACAAAAAACTAATAGTGAGTCAAGATTCAGGAGTAACATGTTCTCACACAGTTTAAAAGGATCTAGGTCAGGAAGATAGTAGTAAAGAAAAGAATGGGCAGATTGTAAATATACTTTAGAGGCACAATTAACAGAATATACTGATGAACTGTAACACTGGCTATGAGAGAGAGGAATCAAGGTTTATGCTACAGTTTTTTGCCCTGAGAATCTATAAGAATCAAAAATATCTTTAACTGAGATTAGGACAGCTGTGGGGAGAAAAAGTTTGGCAAGGGGTGGGGAAAATGGATTAATTAACAGTTTGGGGACGGCACCTATGGCTCAGTGAGTAGGGTGCTGGCCCCATATACCAAAGGTGGCAGGTTCAAACCTGGCCCCGGCCAAACTGCAACAATAACAACAAAAATAGTCAGGCATTGTGGCAGGCGCCTGTAGTTCCAGCTACTCAGGAGGCTGAGGCAAGAGAATTGCCTAAGCCCAGGAGCTGTAGGTTACTGTGAGCTGTGACTCCACAGTTCTCTACCGAGGGTGACAAAGTGAGACTCTGTCTCTAAAAAAAAGTTTGGTTCTGGACATGTTAGTCTGAGATTTTGAAAGATCTGGTCTGGAGATGAAAATTTTTCAGGACATGAGTAGTATTTGAAACCAAGAGACTAATGAGATTACTTAGGGAGTAAATAGAGGGAAAGCAGAAAAAAAAAATCAAGGACTCAGTCCTAGAGCCTTTGAATATTAATAAGTTAGGAACTGAACATGGTGGCTCACACCTATAATCCTAGCACTCTGGGAGGCCAAGGTAGAAGGATCCCTTGAATTTAGGAGTTCAAGACCAGTTTAAGAGTGAGACCCAGTCTCCACCAAAAATAGAAAAAGTAGCTGGGCACTGTGGTAGACATCTGTGGTCCCAGCTACTCTGGAAGCTAAGGCAGAAGAATCACTTGAACCAGGAGTTTGAGGTTGCTGTGAGCTAAGACACCATGGAAATCTACCTAGGGTCACAGAGTGAGACTCTGACTAAAAAAAAAAAAAAAGAAAAAAAAGTTGGGGAGAAGGAGAAATTGCGTAAAATAAATTGAAAAGGACTAACTAGTAATATAGAAGCCAATAAAGTACAGGGTTCTAATAGCCAAGCAAAGAAAGTTTATCAAAGGAAAAGAGGTACTTGGTTGTGTCAAAAGCTACAAGGAAAATGAGCACTGAGAATGAACTCTTAACATAGATGAGGTCACTGGTGATCTTGATAAGAACAGTTTTGTAGTATATGTGTGTGTGGGGGGGGACAAAGGTCTGATAATAGAGATTTCAGACAGAATGAAAGAATGAGAGTAGAGAATAACTGGTGACAGCAAGAGAACCAATTCTTGAGTAGTTTTGCTGCAAAGGAGGACAGGGAAATGTAGCAGTACCTGGCAGGAGTTATGGGATTAACCTAGGATTTTTTTAAGAAGAGAAAACTTATTTTTATAGACTGAGGAGAATAATCTACGTAAACAGCAAAATATTGTTATTGCAGGGCACAAAAGGGAAGAATTTGTTAAAGTGATATTCTCATGGACGCAAAAGGGGACAGGATCTAATGCATGAGTGGAAGGACTGGCTTTACACAACAATATGACACTTAACTAGGGCCTTGATTAATACTTGTTGAAAGAACAAAATCTTTGGCTACTAAGATGAATAAAGTGGTAAATTAAATAGTAAATATTAGCTTTGGTTTAATAAATGACATATGAATTTATAATTTCATCTGTTAAAGTTTTCATGTTGTTTTGCCCTTATTCCTTTGCCAAAAGAATAAGTACTATTCAATATTAACTTCAGCTGTCCTCTTTGAGCAGCAAAAAAATATTCAAGTTTATTTTATTTTAAATATGGACCATCAAAAGGTAAGAGTTTCTGTTAAGGTACAGGGGAAGGGAAGTAAATACAGAACCTACTTACCATTTTCATCTACTGCAAGCACACTTGCTCCTTTCCCCAAAAGTTCTTGAACCACCATTGTTAGCCCATTTCGGGCAGCAACATGCAGAGGTCTGGGGGAAAAAATTATACATGTACATGTATGTGCACATACACACACCTGGCTGTCAGAGGGCATTTTTGTTTATTTGTGAAGACCCTAAGGTACAAACTTGAAGTACCTACTCCTAATAGCAAAGATGGGGGTAGGGTCAGTAGAACCTCTGTGTTGTATACTGTTAAATACCTTGTCAATGTGTGTAAGCTAAGCCATAGGCTCCACTAGCAAGTTCCCATCTTCACTAAACCATTTTGTTATTTTCTAAGACTCAATGTTTAAAGAGATTTTACCATTAAAACTGCATTCTTATGTTTTTAAGAAATAAGGTTGGCAAATGTATATAATAGAACACACAATAAAAACTATAAACTGCAGTTGCATAAATCTAATGGCACTGAAAACAGTTTATAAACCCCATGATTAATTTTTAGAACTTCAAGGGCCTTAATTGTCCCTAGAATAGGAACAAGTGTTCTAAGATTTTGATCTTTACCAAGTCTAAAAGTGGAAAAGAAATGAACATTGGGGAAGGATGATGGGATCTAATATCTCTGTCAATCAACCTGGAGGTTGACTGCTTACACTAAGAACCTGATTCTTTATAAAACCTCTTTAAGCTTACAGATGTATAATTTCTTACCTCACTTATTGCTAGTGTCATATACCATATTATTACTGATTTCCAGATACAGAATAGTACTACTTTCCTTCAGAAAATTACATGGGTTAATGGACTAAGAAATATTATTGTCAATGTTGTAATAAAGTTGCAATTCATAAGCTTTTGAAATACTATGCCTTTAATTGTGATGATTTAAAAAATGAGGTTTGTCCTCATACAATAAAAAAAAAAGGGTTCTGTCAGTTGTAAACTTGCGCTTTACTTTTTCACTGCATCTATGACTAAGACCTATTCCAACATTCACATGTTAAGAAAAAATCCATTTATCTCTTTCATAAGAAATTATAGGTCACACAAAGTTACATTAGACATTGAAAGTACTCACGTTTGCAAGGCTGCGTTGGTTGCGTTGATGAGGTTTCTATCTGTTATCTTTTCCAGTATTAACAAGGCACTAGTTTCATGACCCTAAAATTATGGCAAATAACTCTTGAAAACTTTAAAACCATTAAAAATAAATTTATACACTCAACAATTTCTAATCCTAGTCTACACAATATGTACAACACCATATATATGCCATAAATGTTGTTGGCTAATACCTTATAATATCTGTCTGTATATGTGTTGGGAGTAGTGGTAAGGGGAAGAGTCAAGAAAAAAAATAAAAGAAGATTAAAGAAAGATGATAATTGTGTTTTAGACTTGTGCTCCAAAACTTATTTGGCTTCCTGGAGTCTTTCTTACAGGCTGGGGCCTAAAAGCCAATATTTTTGTTCAAGAACCTGATGCCAGGAATCATTATTGAGGTTTGGTCCCTAGGTCTGTTGATTTTAGTGCAATTAAAAAAGTCTCAATGCCACTGTTAATATTAACAACAAAACATGTCCTTAAAATGTATACATACCTTGCTGCAAGCCAAATGGAGGGCGGTGTTTTTACTGTTATCTTGTAAAGTCAGATCTGCACTAGCACTGCTAACCAGCATTTCTGGGAGGAAAAAGTGCATCAATTCTTATGTTTATAAACATGTTTCTTAGATTAACTATAACGCACCATAGGAAAATGAAAATATAAAGCAAAAAATATTCCTTTTGTATAAATTTAAGTGCAGGAAAAATATACTGATATATAATGTATACTCTAGTGTAATTATATAGGATAACTATATTGTTATATAAACACAGACACTAACAATACCAAATAACATTTACTTTGTGAGTGTTCACTAAATTTTAAATTATGTACTGTGGATTTATAATAATTTATTTAACTCTCACAATAATTCTACAAAGTAAGTTATCTTCTCATTTTACAAATGAAAAAAACAGAGGCACAAGGTCACGTAGCTGAAAGATCTAGCACTCACATTCAGGCAATCTGATTCCAAAGCCAGTGTTCTAAACCACTATGGTACACTGCCTTAGTAAAGCAGGCTCTTCCATCAGTAAGGGCAAATTAAAACACTGTGTCCCTAAATGAAAATGCAGGTTGCAAGCAGGTAAAAGGTTTTAATTCTTAGGAGTGATGCAATAACTAGTGGAACTCAAAAGTCTTGGGATGTAAGTTATACATAAGTGATACACAAGGGCTATCTAGATACTTTCTGGACAGCCCTTGGACCTTGTACATGCCTAGAAAAATAAAAGTCTTAAATAGTTTCTTTACCAACAGTATTTGTTTGTCCATTTTCTGCGGCCATCATAAGAGGTGTTTTCCCAGAAGAGTCCACAGAATTGACTTGAGCATTATGGCTTAGCAGCAGCTGTAAACACTCTACATGGTCTGTGAAGGCAGCTGCATGGAGAGGAGTTCTGTGATGCAGAGAAAATGAAATACATATGACTGAATCTAAACGTTAAATACATTGGAAAAAAATTTATCTACGACAAATCAACTTTCAAGGGTTTCTACAGCAGGCTATAAAAATATTGCCTGGAAACAAATAAACTTAAAAGAGCTTACTCATTTCTGCCATAGAAATCTGTACTTTCAATAACATAATTAATAGGACTTAAATTAGAAATAGTATAAAATAAAGATTATAAAATTGCTAAAATAAACATTACATTATTAAAGGAAATTTTGAAGGAAATAAATCCTTACTCAAATGATACCACCTGTTATAACTGTTAGATTCTCCTCCAGCCTTTATTCCTAGTTAGAAAATTGTTATTAGGCTTGGCGCCTATAGCTCAACTGGCTAAGGCACCAGCCACGTACACCTAAGGTGGAGGGTTTGAATCCCCAGCCCAGGCCCGCCAAACAACAATGACGGCTGCAACCAAAAAAAAAAAAAATAGCCGGGCATTGTGGCGGGTGCCTGTGGTCCCAGCTACTTGGGAGGTGGAGGCAAGAGACTCGCTAGAGCCCAGGGAGTTGGAGGTTGCTGTGAGCTGTAATGCCATGGCACTCTACCCAGGGGGACAGCTTGAGGCTCTGTCTCAAAAAAAAAAAAAATTGTTATTAAACAGTGATCTTGAGTAATATAACTTCTTAAAAAACGGTAAATTATTTTAAAAGATAGCTTTATAAAAGAAAGACTGGCTAAAAACCATAAATTAACAGAAAACTCTTTAATATAATATAAACAAATTAAGATTTTATAATTTATACTTGTAAATATAAAAACCAATTTTCAATTAATAATGGGTTTTCTATAAATTCTCATTCATTAGGATAAGTAGTCAAAATTTCTTCCTATTGAAAGTAAACTATTTCCTTCATAGCTGGATTCCTACCTTCCTTTTGAATCTGTGGCATTCACGATGCTGGCACCTAATGTATCAATTAACATCTCAGCAGCACCTTCGTTGTCATTTATCCTGTGTAAGGTAACAAAGTGATCATTCTCACATCAGTGATTTATTTTTATCAAAAACTCAAAGTGAATCTGATTTATTTTGTATTTACTTACACAGCACAATGCAATGGACTAAAAGCATTTCCTTCCAATTTCTGGAAAACTTCCTGTTCTAAAAGAAGTTCTACACATGTCTCATGACCTAAATAGGCAAACAAAAAATAGCCATTAAAATTCATAAAAAAGACCACGAATGGATCAATAAATTGTGGCATAATATACCACTGAATATTATGCAGCCTTCAAGAAAGATGGAGAGTTTACCTTCTTCATGTTTACGTGGATGGAGCTGGAAAATATTCTTCTTAGCAAAGTATCTCAAGAATGGAAGAAAACGTATCCAATGTACTCAGCCCTACTATGAAACTAATTTATAGCTTTCATATGAAAGCTGTAACCCAATTATAGCCCAAGAATATGGGGAAAGGGGGAAAGGGAAGGGAGGGGAGGAGGGAGGATGGGTAGAGGGAAGGTGATTGGTGGGACCATGCCTATGGTTCATCTTACAAGGGTACATGTGAATCTTTCTAAACGTAGAATATAAATGTCTTAACACAATAACTAAGAAAATGACATGAAGGCTATTTTAAACAGTTTGATGAAAATATTTCAGATTGTATATAGAAGCAGCACACTGTACCCCATGACTGCATTAATGTACACAGCTATGATTTAATAATAAAAAAAATTCAAAAAAAGACATTAGCAAAAATTGCAAATATGTTTAAGTGTTAAAGGGAAAAAAGTACAAATCCCAGAAACCCATCATATCTCCGAGTTCCAAGCATACAGCTGGCCCTCTAAATCTGTGGGAGAAATGCATCTCTACTGAATATGTACAGATTTTTTTTTCCTTGTCATTATTCCCTAACAATACAGTATAATAACTATTTACACTGCATCATGTATTATAAGTTATCTAGAAATGATTTAAAGTATACCAGAGGATGTGTGTAGGTTATATGCATACACTACCATTTTATATAAAGGACTTGAGCATGTGTGGGTTTTGGTATCTATAGGAGGTCGTAGAACCATCCCCAATGGATAATAAGGAACAACTGTATTTTCTTTTTTTAATGGAAATGGAATGTTTTGTTCTGCAACTTGCTTTTTACTATTTGCATATTTTCCTTCCATAATAGCACATACAGAAAAATCTTATTCTTTAACCTTCCAAAGAGTTTCACAGTATTAGTAACTGAGCATGACAAATGATTTTTACATGATTGCTAGTTGCCAGTATATATGTGTGTGTATATATATAATATGTATGTAATATAATAAAGTATATGTGCATGTATGTAGAGAAAGGATCTCTCTATATTGCCCAGGCTATTCTCTAACTCCTGGACTCAAGTGATCTTCCTATCTCAGCCTTCCAAAGTGCTGGGATTATAGGCATGAATCACCACGTTCAGCCCAATTATGCTAACATTCTCAGACAGTAGCTTAACTTTAACTTTATTCTACCAGAAAAATAAACTGATTTTATTTTATTTTTTTGGCCAGGGCTGGGCTTGAACCCACCACCTCTGGTACATGGGGCCAGTGCCCCACTCCTTGAGCCAAAGGCACTGCCCAAAAATAAAGCAATTTTTATGTTCTGTCATTTGTCAACTCTTTTCTCTAATCCAGTGTTTCTCTTATAGATTTCACCCTCTAGGAGATATTGCATGTGACAAAATCTGGAGATACTGTTGTTCATCACAACTGAGGGGAGGGAAGTGCTACTGGCATCTAGTAGGTAGAAGCTCGTGATGCTGCTAAACACCCTGCAATACACAGGATAGTCTCGCATAGCAAATAATTATCTGGCCCAAAACATCAATAGTGCTGAGGTTGAGAAATTTGGCTTTAATTCTATTTTTCCATATGTTAACTCATTACTAAAAAACTAGCAATGGAGGGTCATCTAGTATCAATTTAAGAGCTTCCCATTATCCTGGTATGTGGGTTCTTAAGGTACAGCCTGGAGAGCCCTAAGCTGATATTGAAAAAGGCATGTATGAGAATCCAACTATTCTCTCAAACTAGCCATTAAAGAAATTCACTACTCTTCCCCTCCCCCCAAAAAAATTCTAGAAAAAAATTTTCATAAAAATGTTATTTATATTAAAATAATAGATTATTTTTATTTATTTATTTTTTGAGACAAGAGTCTCACTATGTTGCCCTTCGTAGAGTGCCATACCATCACAGCTCACAGCAACCTCAAACTCTTGGGCTTTAGCAAATCTCTTGCCTCAGCCTCCTGAGTAGCTGGGACTATAGGCACCTGCTACAGCTCAGCTATTTTTTTGTTGTAGTTGTCATTGTTGTTTGGCAGGCCTGAGCTGGGTTTGAACCATCAGCCCCGGCGTATGTGGCTGGTACCCTAGCCTCTGAGCTACAGACACTGAGCCAATAGATTATTTTTAAATAAATTAATAAGAATTAAAAAATTTCTCAGCTGCTATTTCTAATACAGTCAATATTAATAGCTATAACCCATAGAGCCTGAAACCAAAGGGTCTGAGAACTACTATTTGAGTTGAGTCAGACTTTGAAAAAGGGAGTTTTCATGTTCTTGATTATATCCACAAATCATTACTGACGGATATCAAGCAGACAGTCTTATCACTTTACATCAGTTTACATACAGATTGATCCATCCATCCTCCTTTTGATGTTTTGGAGGGCTATTCTTTTTTTTTTTTTGAGACAGTCTCACTACGTCACCCTTGGTAGAGCGCTGTTGCATCACAGCTCATAGCAACCTGCACTTCTTGGGCTTACGTGATTCTCTTGGCTCAGCCTCCCAAGTAGCTGGGACTACAACACTCAGCTATTTTTTTCTTGTTGTAGTTGTCATTGCTGTTTAGCTGGCCCAGGCCAGGTTCAAACTCACCACTGTTGGTGCACGTGGCCAGTGCCATAAACACTGTGCTACAGGTGCCGAGCCTGCAGGGCTATTCTTAAGCTGTTTAGAGGTTCATAAAAATAAATTTTTTTTAATTTTCATTTTAATTTTTTATTTTAAATGACTTTAAATCTAATTTAACATACTAGACAAAGGAAGCAAGCACATAGTAACTTGGGAAAATGTTTATAGAAGAATAAGGCTGTTAAGAATAATAAAAGGAAAAGTTGCTGTTTTATTTCAAGGAGAAAAAAATGAATAGAATCAAGAAACAGAATAAGAAAACTTCTATAATATGTATGTAAATGTTAAAATGCTTAAGAGTAAAAATTAAAGCATAGTTTTCTTTTCCAATGTACACACACCTATTATGAAATTAATTTAAACCTTTTTATATGAAAGCTATAACCTAATAACAACCTAAGGATACGGGGAGGGGAGAAATAAATTTTTAAAAGGAACAAATAAGGTAAGTACTCTTAATTCTATGATTGAATGACTATATAAACTAAAACTTTAATGTCAGCCTGTTCCTTTCTAAAACTTGGCTATCTGGCTCAGCGCCTGAGGCTCAAGTGGCTAAGGCGCCAGCAATATACACCTAAGGTGGTGGGTTTGAATCCAGCCGGGGCCCGCCAAACAACAATGATGGCTGTAACCAAAAAAATAGCCAGGTGTTGTGGCAGGCACCTGTAGTCCTAGCTACTTGGGAGGTGGAGGCAGGAGACTTGCTTGAGCCCAGGAGTTGGAGGTTGCTGTGAGCTGTGATGCCACAGCATTCTACCCAGGGCGATAGCTTGAGGCTCTGTCTCAAAAAACAAACAAAAAAAAACAAAAAACAAAAAAAAGCCTTGGCTATCACTTCATTTTAATTTGGGAGAAAGATTTTTTTCTGTTCTTTTGAAGTGCTTCCAATCTTCTTTCCAGCCGTATGATGAATTACTAGTCAAAGTAAAACCATTTTACATATGCTACTTTCAGAATGTTAAATTATAAAACAGGCTTTTGGCTATAAATATGGTATTAATTTTAGGCTGTCTGTATAGCCTCTTATTGCATATAGCCAACACACATATAATTCCTTCCAGCTCAATTCAGAATTACAATTTTTAAGTCTGAAAATTAGACACATCTGTTATGATCTTTAAATGGTAACCAGGCATACAGTTCATGCAAAATTCTGCTTCTTGTACAGAATGCCTTAGAGAGTCTAAATTTGGTAACAATATAGTAGGAACTCACTTTAGGCAAAGTGTTGTACATATAGACCTGACAAGAAATGTTATAATACAGAACAATTCTCCAAAGGACAGTTAAAGCAGTATATTTAACTAAATGCTCTCTACCTGAGAAAAAATCTGCGTGATTTTTTAATATGTCTGTGTGGCTAATTCTCACAGACATATTAAAAAGTCTCTGCTTCAAAATAATTTTATCTCACTGCCTTTATTAACTAAGATCACACATCTGTAGATGTTTTCTCACTACATTAGATATTCTGAATTTCCCTCATATTTTTAAAATGTAAAGTCACATTATAAAACAAATCAAATATCAGTGGCAAAATACAACATCTTTGACTTAGCACTCTCTGACCACTTCACTACACTCATTAAGAACCAGGTTTAGGCCAGTTGCGGTGGCTGATAACTGTAATCTCAGAACTTGGAGACCAAGCTCAGTCAACATAGCAAGACCTTTGTTTACAAAAACAAATCAGGCAAACAAAAAGACTAGGTTTAGTAAGTTAAAATGAGAAAAAGAGAAGTCAAATCTCCAAGATTTTATGTTTTTCAAAAACTGTTTTGGTTAAGAATCTGAGGTAGTAAAAAGGAAACTAAGTAAACCACGGTCTGTGAATTAGCAATAGATGTCTATTCAAGTTTTTTTATAGTACTACCACGCTATTCTGTTGAAGGATGACCAGTAATAATCATAGGACACTCTTCAAGTTCAAAACTTTCTCACAGGAGTAATATGAAAATCACTCAGAAATACTTGTGAAAACATTTAATTAAACTGTAACTCTGCAAGATTCAGATTTCTTTTCTTTCACCATAATTCAATAATATTATTTGTCAGAATGACTTCCAGTGAAAGAACCATGAAGCAGCTGCCTACACGAAGACAGAAAACCTCAACTCTCCAGGAAAGGCAGTCAGATGGCTATAGGACAGATAACTATACTTATTTATTTTAGCAAACAGATATTTACATAAAGAGATAATTTATATTTTTTCTGCATTTTGAGGAAAAGTTGTTAGGATTGTGAAATATAGCACTGTAGATATGGCCTCATAACTTTACATTTATATCTCAACACTATGCAGAAAAATTCAAAAGAAATTTTTAAAACCTCATTTTTCTGTTAAAGAAAGTCTTGACTCAAACTTTGATGGAGTGATGCCTGTGCTGTATGTTATATACCTGAGTGTTTCCTAAGATGATCAAGTCTATGTCTCTGAACAAGGAAAGTATTAATATCTCAACATGTCTTATTATTTAAATTATTTTAATCAGTGACATTTTGCAAGCCACACTGTATTTTAACATCTATTCCTTAAAAAGAGCTTTATGCTTCCTTGAATGACCTTTTGTGAGTTTGTGAAAGGGACTACTGTGAGCCTCTGGGAAGCCAAAAGTAAGCCTGTTCTAACCACACAGCAAATTTAACTCATGAAAGTTCCCAATTCTAAGATGTAATAGTTTATTCCTCTAGAACATTTAGCATTCAGCATGTATGTTAGTGGTTATATAAGAATCTTATCTTGTGATATACTCAGAAAACATACAGAGATTTCAGTTTACAATGTGATATATCTCATTATTTTTCCTACCCTGGTCATTTTTTCCTAATAAAAATGTATTCAGAAAGTAAAACTATTATCAAAATATAAGCATACTAAATAAGCAGTGGAAATATTATTAAAAATCTCTTAAAAGTACAAAATATTTATTGAAATAAAGATCTGTGGGAGGTAGAGAAGTTGACTTCTTAGCCGTCATCCTGCTTCAATCTAGGAGTATCCAGGGGAAATCAGACTCATGATCCCTGGGGACTTAAGACCAGGGAAGAAGAGGTGCAGGGTCCCAGCATGAGTCCACAGGTGGGAGGGGCCAAGTTCTCTGAGCTTCTCATATGTAGTTAGATTATGAAACCTGGCTTACCTCCCCTGCAGGGATAGAACTAGTTTTTCCCTCTCTCTTTCTAAATTCGCCATCCGTCATTTAACAACACTCTACCTTTCACCCAGTCTCTCTCTATCCAATCTTCCTGGGGACTTAGGATTCTTTCAACCTTATCTTTGGACATTTTTCCATTTTGCGTATGCACTTTTGTTAGAAATCAATAAAAGCCTTCTGAAGAAGCCAGAGAAGGCCTGCACTGTCTTGGTTTACTACTCGGCCTGAGGTTATGTAAGCCTTTCTCCAGGCATTCTCAGACTTTATGTTTTAAATTGTATTATAGATTGTATATTTATATTTAAATATACAATATTTAATATTGTATAAGTATTAAAATGTATTTAAATATTTTTATTTTTCTTCAGCATTGTTTCCCAGTCAGCTTTCAAACAAGGTTTGGGGTCAAGCTCCATGACCTCCAACAACTGGCACCCTACGTGGGACTCAGAAAGAATCTCAGTCAGCTTTCAAACCAGGTCAGGGTTCACAAGCAATGACCTCCAACAAAGGTCTAAGAAAAATTTCAAAACAATTTTATGGCTTCTCTCAAAACACCTTTGAAAACTAGTGTCTTAGCTTTAACACGACAACAGGAGTGAGCTATAATTATATGTGTATAGAAGATTGCTCCTAAGCTTCCTACAAATCTTTAAGTTTGCCTTATACGTACATCATTATCATTAAAGAAGAATGCATTACAGAAAGGTGTTGCAGCTCAGTACATAATAGCATTTAATACAGGTCTGTATACTTAACCATTGTAGCAAGCCCAGTGAAGTGCAGTATATCCATGATTGTCTGCTATGGCTGGATTTGCATCCACTGATGCTGCTGACTGCAAAAGGGCTCCAAGAACACCAATGTGTCCACAGGCAGCTGACAAGTGTATAGGTGTCCGGCCCCTACTATCCCGAAGTAAGCACTTAGCACCATGTTGAAGTAATGCATCTACACATTCTTCATGGCCTGTAACTGCCTGAAAGAATAAGAACGTACGTCTAGTCAAATATATTATGCTAAATACTACATGCCAATTAAAAATTTTTTTTTTGAGACAGAGCCTCAAGCTATCCTCCTGAGTAGAGTGTTATGGCATCACAGCTCACAGCAACCTCCAACTCCTGGGCTCAGGCGAGTCTCCTGGCTC